CACACATGTCCAGTGCTAGTTTCAAGTCCGGGACTGGAACTGCGGTCATCTGCATGGGAGTCCAGCGATGTAACCATTACACCACGTGCTGGTCCCCAGATCCTGCTTTAAAAAAAAAAGTTTTAGTAATTCCTGGTCCCCCGCCCAGCCGTTTGGTAAGTACATGCTTTAACATATATTTAGACACCTAGTGCCTACAAAAAGTTTGTGGAAGTAGAATTAAAGCACAAGTTTATTTTGGTCTGACAGAAATTTTAAAATCCGTGCATTTTTCTTTCATGACTCACCTTCCATGAATCTTTTGAATACCCCTCATACATGTCCAAGAATGTACTTAAAACTGGTCTCTGAGGCCCTCGCGACTTTGCGTGGGCTGTTCTACAAAGCTATCTTCAACCTCAAGAATGTATAAAACTAATCACATGCAACAGGAAATCTTCTGTAAACAAGACATTTTTAAACAGATACCCCATATAAAACTTAACTTTCAAAGAGGCTCGAATAAATAAATGAGAACTCCAACTAGCTTACTCCAAATACTTCGATAACTCAGTTTTTCCCTTACTAAAAATATTTGTATCACAAAGCACTAACAAGCAGACAAGGCCAACTACACTTTTTCTAAACCTCCTGTTTCCGCAATAACTGCCCTAATTTCTGTGGTTCTCCGGAAATCTGAACGTCTAACCAAACTCATACTGCAACACTGCGATGGCCCCGTTCGTAAATCCCTTAGTGGAGATCAAGGGTCTTCCCTCCTTAAGCCGTGAACCACATTAAACCTAGGAACCACAGCAGCTGCCCACAGGAACCTCGCTTACACTTGGCCAGTGCCAAAACACTTCCACCCTAAAACCGAAGTGCCTTCATTATTTCCACAAAATGCCTGAACACAATTCGAAGACAGAGAGTACCAGTGGAGACTGTGGAGGCCTCCTTCCATAAACTGTGTGCCATGACATCCTGAATACAAGGCTTGTCACCAACTGTGTCCTTTCAGACCTGACTTCGGGGATCAGCAGGTGATGCTGGACTCCTACACAGCTGGCCTCAGTTCGAGTCCTAGACCAGGCAGCTTAGAACTCACCGGGACATGTGCATGTGCATGCCAAAATTCCAAGAAGAGAATGGAGAAGGGATTGCAGCATGGCCAACCCCCTAGGGGGGTGACTTCTGGCTTTCTGTCTGTGGAGAGCACGCCTGCCCTATAACAAAAAAAATCTCTAAAAATTTTTAAAAATTTTTAAATCTGACTTTGGGAACAGGGAGAACTGTTCTGCATTTTGTGTTTGCAATATACAGCTATGACTCAGAACGGAGGGCACTGCCACACTGATTTACATATGCCACATGAAAGGACTAAAACATCTGCAAATAGGGCTGGAAGAAGTGTCCTGTCATTGACAGGGATTCTGTGCGTCCTCTGAGGTGAAAACCGAGAGAGTGGTGGTGGGAAAAAAGTAGATTTATGCCTTGTCTTTGCTTCTGGAAACACACCTTAATCTATCGTAGTCACGGAAATTCTAATTTTTATGAAGCTCACATACTTCTCAGCAGTGAGCAAATGGCTGGGTCAGGTGTTACACGTAAAATGGAACTGTAGTGTAATCAAGGATTAAAGCTCTGGGGCAGGTGGTCTGGTGGTTAAAGACGCTGGACTCCCAGGTGGGGGGCCAGGGTTCCAGTCTCAGACCTGGCGGCTTGCTTTCTCACTCTCTCTCTCAGTCGCTCTCTGTGTTTTCTCTGGTCAAATTAAAACGAATAATGATAATAAAGTTAGATAAAATAAGTCTTTAAACAAAGAATTAAAGCTCTAACATTGGTTGTGGTGCTTCTTTAACCTCAAATGTTTTAAAGGAACCATCTGTGGTCGCCAGGACCGTGTGAGGCTGCCGGCCCTTTCCACGCCTGCCCATGTCTGCTGACATCTCCGCCT